AAAAATTCATGGTGTACAGTTTCTACCTAACTAAAACACGAAAGTCTAATAAGAAAAGGCATTACTAGTTGTATCTATCCTCAATAATAATTATTTGATGACCTCATAAGTAAACGCTTAATCTTAAGACCACTGAACTTCTATCCGACGATGTTAGTGTTCAGATTCAGTCAATTCACAATGTTTTTGGTTATTTGTCTTCTTTGAATTGAGTGCTTTAATTAAAACCCGAGCAACCAGATCCGAAAATGTAACATAAATAAAAGTAACTGCCTAAACTGTGTGTGACAAACAGGATTCGCCAAATTATCAGTCTGTCAGTTGATATCGAAGAAGTTCTATTGATTAAGCTGTACTGAATATGAAGGAATGAATAGGAGTGAATGAATGTGGGTATATATACTCGGATATATATTTGTTGTTTATATTTATATTTGTTGTTAGGATCTTTTCATTAATGTTTAGGACTGTAATTGATTAGTCTCTTTTGGCACATGTACATCCTTTGTGGTTTGTCGCAATATTGGTGTGAATTCACAAGCTTTCGATGCATAGATGGATAGTGGTTAGCAGTGGAATCCAAGATAAGCTTTTCGTCCTATTTGATCCTCATCAGCTGAGTGTACCTATATCCCGGAAACTGATCAACTGCATTTCTAAACATCAATTAGAAGGTAAAAACAACCAATATATAAATGAATTAAAATGTACCAAATGGCACAAGCCAGTGGCTAAGTGGGTAAGGCGATGGTATTTAAACCGAAGAGTATTAAGTCGGAGTCTTGAAGTGAATGTCAACTCTGCATTACAAGTATATCCATCTGACAAGCCTGAAATCATGTGAATCCCATTGCCAGCCACCATCTATATCTGCTTAAAATACTTAGATATGCTTCTCAATTTTAAGCGTTTAACGCTTGTTATAGTTAGTAGTTACTGATAACAAATAAAGCGATGAAACAATTTGATTAAAGAACAAGTTATTTTAGAACTCAAACATTTTAAAATATTTTTTGACACCAATTAAGCAGGATGTAGAAAAATGTACAAAATTGAATAAAATACTTCTACTAGTCACTTATAACAGAAGGGAACTAAAAAACATGGTGGTTAGGCTGTTTAAAAAAGATTTTACTTCTGTTTTTGTCTACGTCTAATTCACATATTATTTCATTTATAATGCCAAACAATCTCCAGGCATAAATATCTCAGTGTGTATTCATTATTCTCATCATTTTCAGGAAATAAACTAACTTAAAAGGTATGGAAAGCAATCCATGTCATTCCAATCATTACCACATTCAAGGTGAGAAACTTTGAGATAGTATTCTCACATTACCGTTTATTTCTCCACCTGAGTAAATCTACCATTAATTACCAACTAATATTGTATTCTTTCTTACCAACCGTTTCACCTGAGTAAAATGTTCGAAAATCATCAATCTTAGTATCTTCTCTACATATTATATCATATATTTTTATATTTATTTATATTCAGCTTCATCACACGAAACTAACGTACATGGTTTGGTGTTTAAAATGGGGACATCTAAATATAGATCGAATGAAATCAAAGAAAATAGCAAGATTTCCATGTACATCTGAGTAACACATTAATAAGTGATTTTATTAAATTGGATGTTCTTTTAAATATAGTTGAAATGAAATTTTAAACGAAAAACTTTAATTGTTGAATTCACAGAATCAATTAAAGCTAGACCACCATGGAAAACCTGGAAGCGCTGGACGGCTGTTTCGTTCTAGTATGGGACTCCTCAGAAGTGCGCATCCACGATCCCGCCCGCGGGAATCGTAAAACTTTAACTTATTAGTTTTATAGACTTAACACTGTAATATTTTTACGATAATCTACTCTGTTTAGATTACATTTGTAATACCTAAGCATAAAACAGTCTGATTGATTTTGTTATTCTTCTCGTCAATTATAATTGACAAAATGTATCATCACTAACTTTCATCATTATTTTATTTCAAAATATTTCATTGGCCACTATAACATTTCAACTCATATGAGAGTTCATATTTACTGTGTTCATAACCTATTTCCTGCTACTCACATGACGTGAAGTAAAAATACTTTGTCTAATTCACTCCTATTCAAAATTGTGAAAACCATAAGAATTAGTTGATTAAAACGTGATCTTTACATTTAGAAATAGAGTAACTAGTTGACTATCTTGGTATTGTTTATGAATTTAATTCATTTATTACAACAACAGCGCAATAATGTTTTCTCTACCTTTTTGTTTTTAATTTGTGACCATCATATTGTGAATTTTATTATCTTTTGTAGTGTTATAGAATTATTGCTCAAATTATTCATATAAAATACCATTTAACAAGTTAACTTAAACATTATTACAAATTAAAAGCACTTAGTATTGTTTGTTTGAATATTCTTAGTAATGTTTAGGACTGCAATTGATCAGTCTCTTATTGGCATGTGTGCATAGTGTGTATATTGACTCGATATTGCCTAAATTCACAAACATTTTATGTAAAGATGGATAGTGGATAGCAGTGGAATCCTGGACGTGCGTTTCGCCCTATTTAAGACTAGCCAGTTGAATGTACCTGCATTTCAGAGTTGATGTTCACTCTGGGACTCGAGCCCAGTATCGTTCGCTTCAAACATCATCGCATTATTCACTTATTACGAATTTATTTGCTAAATAATTAAGTGTTATGTAATAAACAATTAATTTCTTGATTTCTAAGTTAATGTTAATGATTTGAACTAAAATTTTCTGTATTTTAGAAAGGATTAAAAAAATACACATTTCTTATATTTTACAAGCTATGCTGCTATTATTTCGTTTAAACTTGTTAAGAGAACCTACAACTATAGATGATTTGATCAGAGAGGAGAAATAGATTTTAAATTCATTAATTGAATTGCTTTACTTTTATCCCAACAATTATTTCCCTAGGTTAAAATCCGTTTACAATTAGTGTTAATCAACTTATAACCATTTGATTAGTGTTTATTTTATAACCATTTCTAAAATCTATAATATATCGATCAAGAATCATAATGACAATTGATTTGTATTATGAAGATGTACATTGTTCAATTGATGCTTGAAAATGAACAAGATTTAAACAAAAATCTTAATTTTAATAGTTGAGATCATGAGTCAATTGAAGCTAGACCACTGTGAAAAACCTGGAAGCACTGGACGGCCGTTTTGTCCTACTGTGGGACTCCTCAGCAGTGCTCATCCGTGATCCCGCCTCGCAAGATTCGAATCCAGGACCTATCAGTCGTGCACACGAGTCAGAAAATGCAAAAGAATATCCTACTATATTCTACTATATACGACAATATTCCACTATTCTACTATTCTGCATATTGTGCAGCAAAGTTTATTATTAAGGAACCTGAAAGACAAGAAAACGATTGCGTCAAGTCCCACTGTGTTTACCAATTTAAATGTGTGTGTGATCACACATACATAGGGAGGAGTAATCAGGATCCCAAAATTAGGGTATGTGAACATGTACCTAAATGGTTTCAGAAACAGATAGAATCGAATGACCCAATAATAGTAGAGGATAAATATTCATCATCCTCTATTGATACAGGCTATAAGATTGATCTTAACTCAGCTTTTGTGGTGTTGTACAAATGTGTAAAAGGGCATTTACTAAAGTTTATTGAAGCCTTAGCCATACGGAAATTCAAACCTTTTTGTGCATTCGAAAACAGCTTGTTCTCACCCCAAACCTACCTTGGTAATGTTAGCTTATTATTAAATTGTTTTCATATTATTTCTTTACTATCTTTGTCTCCTTTTACCCCGCATTTCTAGTCAGGTTGACCTTTTATTTTTATATATAAATGCTCTTAACAGGTATGTGTGATTAGACTGTTCGAAATGTATTGCGTTAATACATCACATAGTTCTAATAATCTTCGTCTTCTTATTACACTATCGAAATTTATCAAAGTGACTAATTGCTTTAAACATTCTACTAATAAAAAGATATGAATAAAGATTCATCTCTATGAATTAATAAATCTAGTTCACTGAGCCAGCAATCATTGGTGTTGATGTTTAACTTCAAATAACCCACTAAATTGAGCAACACATCCACCAATGTCTTCAATGAGTTGGACTCCATTGGTCACTGCTTCTCATTAGAACTCGAGGAAATACCTCTTGAAACCAGTCACTAGTGAGCATATGCTGATTAACATCAGAAAGGGGTTTTTGGAGATTTTAGCAATTTTATAGTTGAAGTTAAACATGAACACCGAACAGCGTTCTTGTGCGAGACTGACAGTTTATGGGTTCGAATCTTGCAGGGCGGGATCGTGGGGTGCGCAGTGTTGAATGAAACGGCCGACCAGTGCTTCCAGGTCTTGCACAGTGGTCTAGCTTCAGTTGACTTATGAAATGAACTATAAAATCACTAAAATATCAACCCCCCTTTCTGAATTTATATATATATATATATATATATATATATATATATATAAATATAAAGTGGCTCTTTGTTGAAACGATAACTTGAACTGGTGTTGTCTTATGGAAAAATTCTAATTTATAAAACGTACAAACATTAATAATCAAAGGAGTATCATTATAAACAAGAATTTCTTTTGGAAACTTATCATTAATCTTAATTAATTAATTAATTTTACTATTCAACATTGTACTTTACATTATAAAATATAAATAAACTATAGGTACAATCCCTTAGAAACACAAAAAATATCAATGTTTAACAGAAATCAATGATACAATTGGTTATTATATTTGATACATACATTTAAAAGAAAATCTAATCATACAATAAAATGTATAATTATATCATGTAATAGCTCCTTATTTCAGTATATATTTCTCAGTATCTTTTTTTATTATTATGGATTGACATTTTACAAAGTTAATCTCAATTATGTAATCACTTTTTTCCTTTCTGCTAAACAGAAACACTATATATATATATATATATATATATATATATATATATATATATATATATATATATATATATATATATGGCAAGCGTTAAGTTTAATACGCATATGTATTCACAGGTAAAATAAACATACACAGAGAATAATATTAAATCTTAGATAAAAGTGGAAACATGTGAAGATATAGAAGTTACAATTGGATTAGAAGATGAATATTTAGTATTTATATTTAATAAATTTTGTTCTCTATCAGATTTGTTTATTAATGGTAATTGTTGATTATGTTCATCATTTTGATTTGAAAAAATTTCCGATAATTGATTTGATCTATTATTAATTGAATCTGGGATAGATTTATTTACTTTTATTGTTAACTGTTCATTGATATCAGTATTATGAGTAGTATCATTTTGTTTATGTATATAATCATTCATTTGAATGGTTTGTTGTTGTTTATCTAAATCACAACAATATAATGAATGATTATTGATACCATTGGTATTCTTCTCAATATCAACATCATTGAATTCTTCATTATTCTTACTACTGTCATTAGTTCTGTGTGAATTTTCATTTAATTCTGTAATACATCCTTTCAGTATACCTTTTGGTGTGAGATATAACAATGATTTATTATCTAGACCGAAATTTTTTGTCGCATTTGAATTTGATAATTCCATATTATTAAGTTTCATTAAACCTAAAATGGAATACTTAAAATGTATTTAGGGAGAAAATTATAGAGAATAAAGTAAAAACGTTTTATTCTATGTATGGTTACATTTTCAGTATGTAGAAAAATAAAAAGAATTTTGTATTTTAGCTATAACGTTTTGCCTGAATATGTCTTATTGGTTACATGTGTATCTACAAGGTGTAAATATAATATTCACTTACTGTACCACTAAGGCCATATCGGTTATCTCTTTTGATAGAAGCAATTTAAGATGAGTTAGATAATGAGATAGTGAGATACTTGTGGTGCCAAAAATCATTCCTGTTGACTGAATGAACATTAATTTTATTGTTGTACTCTCTTTTCAATAATTATTGTGTATCCCTATCTTGACAAAAGTCAATAGCATTCATTCAAAACCATGTATTGTTGGTTAAGCACATGATCGATTGTCTATATTAGCGAAACAGTAGCATACTTATGATTTGCGAGTTGACAAATTTAGAAAGATCAAATAATTGCGGTTGAACTTCATGACTGTTTAGATCATTTAAAATAAATGATGGTCAGTCACAGGAGAAATGAAAACAATAGTAAATACAAGTATAATAATAATCTTAATGAGCAGACATCTAAATTTCTGACGTTTCTCAATTTAAAGTTGGTTTGGTACTATGAAGAAACATTCATCTTATTGTTTCAATTCGTTTTTTGTCAGGTTTTGCTGTGTTTATTCAAACAACCATTGTTAACCAATTTGAATTTTCTTATATTAATTGCATTCGGTAAATTTCCTAGCTGAATCCCACTTGGTTCGGTAACTTAATATTGTAACCATCTTTGTATTTTAGGTAACCACAGAAACTTACTCAAAATATAAATCGTTTTGTGATGTTTAGGCTATGAGTTGCTCTGTGGAAAACTTTCCTCGGCTTCAAATAAATGACTTGTAACTTGTAGTCTTTGTTGACATGACACTTGTCTGTTAGATAGAAATAAACTCTTATTTTATATTACATTAAAAGTTGAGGTTTTAGTTATATATAAGTTTCTTTATTCAGTTACAAATATTTGGATGTAAACTACTGGAAGTTTTATAGGTAGGAAACGTAAAAGATTGTAAAGAAATAACTCGTGGAATACTATTTGAAATGCAGTACCATTTTAAAAAGTACAGATTATTAAATTATCAAAGTGAGTTTACCTATAAATTTCATTTATATGCACATCTACATCAAGCATAATATTCTAATCAAATTAGTCTTACCATTTGCAAAATTTGGACTAACAGATATCTTATTATTATATTCATCAATTGGACATTCATGTGGTTGAAGAATTTCGTACTTTTGATTTAACATATTTCTGTTCATTTGATATGGATCAATTGTTTTATATCGTTGACTGAAGTAATCATTTGGACTAGCCGGTGCTGAATGTTGAACATGCATTAATGATATCCATTTGTCTGAAGAAAGATTTTCAGTTTTATTATTATTATTATTGTGTATTGCTTGAAATTTTCTTGGAAATTGTAGTGAACTAGCAGTTATTGGAATATTGTAATTGTATATAGGTTTTGAGTGCTTTAAAAAAGGACCATAACATATTACATTTGGCTAAACAATATATAAAAAATAGACAAACGTTTCTTGAAAATATATGAAACAATAAAGGAAAACCTTCATGATACATTCATGTAGTATTATGTAAATAATACTTATTCAAACCAATAGCATTAATGTAATAGACTCTTAGTACTTAAAAATGTGAAATTTAGTTTAAAATTGGAACAGCCTTGATTGTAAACTATCCGTCGGCTACAAATTATGGCATATTAAAAATTTTCTTAAGGTAGGAAAGTTAGCAGCTAACCATTCTTTCACGAAATAGAAACAAAGACTGGAAATGAACTCAACTCTGGGCTGTGATTTCGGCATCCCACTTAGCGATCAACCAGAATGAAGCAGGAACTATCGTTTCCATCATCTCTGACAGCGATGGCGGTTGGCTTGCCTCATTCTGTGTTTTTTTGCTAACTTTTTGATGTTGTTGCAACATTTATTCATTTAGTGTGCGAAAATTCGTCAATTTATGTGCTGACGCTAGTTTTTTTAATCGACTTTGTTTTCCCGGTTGCTACTACTACTACTACTACTACTACTCAGGTCAGTGTATTCCTTCTGGTGTGCTTACGCGCTTTATGTGATGAAATGATAATTTGTTTTGTTTTGAGTACTTTTTTGTAGATATCAGACACCAGAGTAAGTGCCTCTTAGCTAAAATCAATGTTGCTGCCACTTGAGACATTTGAACTGTCAGCATATTCGTTTATGTAGTTGTCAAGATCTATAAAAGATAACGATCTTCAGGTTGTTATGCTATTTTGTATTATGGATAACCCTCTACTTTCAACGAGTCGAACTAATACTGAATATCCAGTTGCAGTGGACACCATTGATGTATTTTAAAGGATTATGAGACCAGGTACCCGACAATATCAGACCAATTCAGAGATGCAGTCGATCTGTTGCAGGAGGTTTGATATTAAAAATATACCATATAACATGATTAATTGAATTGGATGCATTACGTGGTTCTTAAAAGCAAGTTAAGCAATGAATAGTCAGAAATCTGCTATCGGTATGCTATGCACAGCACAAAAACAAGAACTTAACGATCCTCAAGTCTTTGTTCATTAACGTTCATCACTCACTGTCCACTTCAAACCAACCACGACTTAGGCTATCATCCCAGCATGTAATGCACGTCTCTGCTGTAACGCGGTTTGACATAATGAATAAAAATTAAAAACATGGCAAAATTCAGAGTATAATCTAGCTTTTCAACAAAAATTACATCATAATATGGCAAAATTCACTAATCACATTGGGTATGGTTCCACTCGAAACAGATGATTGGTTAGTTTTAGACTGTGTTACATGAAAACAAGCTCCTTTTGAAGGTATGTAGTGTGCAGTCATATATATAGCTACACTTTTTTTTCATATTCAATATAAACCTAAAGAAATCTGAAAAAATCTACGGTTTATAAAAAGTTTTTCGAACGTAGCGTGATTGTTTTAAACCAGCTAATTAACCTGTCTTTACTCGTCGATATACTAACAGAATACAAAAGCTAACTTTCATATAAAGCAAATAAGATATAAAACTGGATTTAGGAATTATTAAGCCTAAAATGGTCATGATTTATCACCTGTATATCCGTATTTATTGAGGTCATTTCTTTTGTACAAAATCCTAGTTGATGCACAGATCCTGTGGTTGAATTAGTATTCGTATCATACTTGACAAATGGTGAATAAAGATTGGCATCGTGATTACTGCAGCTGTTGTTGTGAATTTTATGATCTTGTTTTTCCAATGTTTGAAATTTCGTAGGTGAATAAGTATTATCGATGTTACTGAAGCGATGTGAATTTACAGAAAATTGACTACCACATTGTTCTGTTTGGCACAAATTGAAATTTTCAGTTAAATGATTTGGACCCCGTTGCAGCTCATATGTTGCTACTTTCTGACGAGCTAATGTAATGGCGACGAGGAAAGCAAATGCAACTAATGTTGAAATAGCAATGAGGCATATAACAGAAATCCAAATTTTTTCTAAACTGAATGGCGCCGAGGGTTTTTGATTTGTCATTATAGAAACTCTCTCTTTTCGACGATATTTCTCATTTGAATTAGATGAAATAGGCAGGATAGTCTGAGCATAAGTTGGTTCATAAATATGTGATTCTCTGATGTCATATCGTGACTCGATTCCATCGAATTCTTTGTTTCCTGAATGAATTACTTCATTATCATTTTTCAAAATTGGTGAGCGGTAACTATTTCTTGAATTCAACGATTCCATATTTGTAGGTTGGTATTTGCCATTGTTGAATGGTAATAACTGAGGTGAGTTACTATCTAATATGATATTTATGTTTGCATATCCTGAGAGACTCGGTGTACCACTATCACGTACCTTTTTTAGGAACAGATTGAATATACAGTATTACTAGTTAGCAAGGCGAAAATTCTGAATTATTTTGATAAAATAAATTATCTCAGAAAATGTAATTACAGATGAGTATCAACACCTAATATATATTAATACTCAATATGGTCAACTTGACAATACGATATGTTGAAGGAAAGTTGAATGATAGACTGATTCAAGGTTAAGAGTTACACGAAACCATGAAGAACTCTTAAGCTGTTTAGTTTCAGTTTAGATCTCTTGGGTGATTAACGTAAAAGTTCGTCCTGAAATTTTTAACTTATCTGTTAACTATTGCCTTATAAAAAAGTTTTTGAAGTTTGAGTAAAATCTCAAAACCGAAGAAATACGATTTCTTTTAGGTTAAAAAGTCAAAAAAGTATAACCGATAGAATTTTTGTTTGTTAAAAGTTAACTTTAATCATTCAGTATATCATATTACATAAAGGATGATTGTCATGGCAAATTGTACATATAAATAAATGAACATGCATATTTATCATTTCAAGAAAGTTTGATTTGCTGATATTAAAGCTTCTAATTGTACAATTGTATAAGTGCGTGAAGTTTTGTTGTCGTTATGTATCCCTAGCTTGATGGTTTATTCATAACAATCTTTAATTTAGATTCAATTTTGAATCCTAGTATCAATATCTTAAAATAGACATATAAATTCTGAGAAACAGAGACATTCAGTGATGATGTCAGTCACAGATGGTGCAACTTAAATAGTATTGTGTATGTTGACATACAGCTAAATATCTAGCCAGATTCCATGTTTTGTAGTCGAATATATATGGTTTGCATAGAAAAGTTCAAAATTTCAGTGTGGTTGTAAAGCAGTTAATGGATCTGATTCTTGAAAGCTACGTGTAACTCCATGAAATCGACAGACAATGAGACATACAGTTTTATCCATGGAATTATGGTGCACATTATCCAAATCGGAAACAAAAGGAAACACAAGCGAACAAAAATATATTTATTATTAACTCCCTACCCAATGCTCAATTTATTTGAAACTATCAAATCCGACCTTGGTATGGGTACCTATAAGTGAACAATGTTATTTAAAGAGTCTATCAAGTTTAGCCACGTTAAGGGTGAGGTAGTTATTTATAATGCTATCAAATAAATTTCATTATAAATGATGCTTCTAGCAAATTTAGAACTGTTAACTAGTGAATATTAATTTAAAGAGTGAGTATTCGTGCATACTACTTGAACTAAAATGTTTAGATTTGTTTTATAATGTTGATTGTTTTATCTGGATTATTGAAGAGCTTAAGACGAAAACTGAACACTTGTTTAGACCTGTTTATTTTTTTATAGGTCTTTCTGCTGATGTTATTTTCTGCTGAATATTTATCTTCGAATTGTATATAGTCTTTAAAAAGTGTTTGTCAGCAATTAATTCTCTACTATCTCTTACTTGTTTCATTTTGTTTAAGAAGGGAAGAAAATTCACTTGCTCAAATATAAATAAGTTAGAAAATAATGTAAACTTGGTTCCTTTTTATTCCTACCACTAAATTTCACATTGTCAAAAATAATGATTTTTTCCTAATAAAAGATAATATTTTATCGATGGATATATAATAATTGATAATTTATAAATTTGTACCTCAAACTTCAGTTGATAGCGACCTCCAATAATGAATGGATCCACTGTTGGTAAAAGACTTAGTTCTCCAGTATGTGGATCCACTGTAAAAATATCTTTTTCCTTTGATTCATCAAGAAGATGAAAGGTTAACTGTGAATTTACACCTTCATCTGAATCTGTTGCTGTTAGTTTAACTAGCGGAATTCCCTGAGATGTTTTAGGAAAAAGTATAAAAAAATTTTCTGTAAGGAAATATTTATAAATTGGAAATTTTCATAATAAATCGTAATTTAAATCTGTGAAAACAGTTTTATCTACACTCTGCATGCTTAAATGTGTTACGCAATTATTTTGAGACAATTTCCGTAACAAACTGATGAACGAAATCCTACTTAGAAACTAAATTATCTTGTAATGTAAAAAAAAATTATCCATGCCAAAAATTTTGTTCACAATTTATAGTTATTATTTTGTTTTTCATGAATGTTTAACTGAACTACACTAAGCATATATCTCAAACTATATGAGATATAGATTTGAGTTGATCAATGTTTAACCCAAAGAATATGAAACATCTTTAAACTAATCATTCCAATAACTTCATAAAAGAAAGACTGGACATAAATATTTTATTTCTCTAATACATTTAAATTCAACATTAATGTACTTTTAAGCAAGTAATGTACTGTCAGTCCAAGTTTATATTACTTAAGTGAATATTAGTTTATGTATTCTATGAACATGATGGATCTGATGCAGATGTGAAGGCGCAGATCGGTAAAGCAAGAGCAGCATACTTACAACTGAAGATCATCTGAGACTCAAAACAACTGTCAACCAACACCAGGGCCAGGAATTTCAATACAAATATCAAAACAGTTCTACAATATGGAGTGGAATCCTGGAGAAATACGAAAGCCATCATCCAGAAGATACAAGTGTTTATTAACAGCAATCTACGCAAAATACTCAGGATCCGTTGACCAGACACTATCAGCAACAACTAACCGTGGGAAAGAACAAACCAGATTCCAGTGGAGGAAGAGATCAGGAAGAAGCACTGGAAGTGGATGGGACACACATTGAGGAAAGCACTTAACTGCGTCACAAGACAAGCTCTCACACGGAATCCCCAGGACCAAAGGAGAAGAGGAAGACCAAAGAACACAGTACGCCGAGAAATGGAGATAAACATGAGAAAAATGAACAAGAATTGGATTAAATGGTGAAAGAAGTTGCAGGAGAGAGTGGATTGGATAATACTGGTTGGCGGATCATGCTCCCCCATGGGAGTAACAAGCGTAAGTAAGTAAGTATCCTATGAAAGTAAATATCAAAACCAATTAACATTTAAGTCACAATTTTCAGTAATTAAACTATCAATGAAAAATTATCATTTTTTTTGCTTTAATAAGAAAACTGTTAATTGATTGCAAATCAATAAAATATAAAACAAAAAAATATTGAACAATTTTTGCAATATCTATAATCCCTTTAGGCAATCATAAAAAGAAAAATCAGAAAATCACTGATTAAAGTCAAATGATTCATTTTTTTAGTTCAAAGATCTATTTTCTTTCTCTGAATTTTTTCTTTCTTTTTCTCTACTTTTTTTTCTGAAAAAAAAACAAGATCTGTTAACCCCTTTCAGCATAAACAACAATAAGACTGTTGATGATATGATCATAATAAATAAATAAGTGAAAAAGTATTGTTGTGATTTTGATAGGATCAATGGTAATAACTTTGCTTTTCTTTTTGTTTTATTTTGTGAACATGATTGTTTATAATTTCTTATTTATTTGCATTATGTTCCTTTTAAAGGGAGAGTTATTCTCAAATAAAGAAGTCGTTTCATGTATTTCATGTATATTCATGTGTGTTTAGTTGTTCGGTCTTTGATGTATCATCGTCATTATTATTATTGTCACAATAACAAAGATATTTCCTCAAATTCGACATTTAATTTGACTTTCACCTATCTTAATTCTAATTTTATTCCTCCTTCGAAAAGGTATTAAATAAAATTGAAAAAAGAGCCTTAGGGAGTTTGATGATTAAATATACAGTATTAGTAATAGTTATTATTATTGTTATTATCATAGAGACAATATTGATGGGTATGTGATAGATCTGTATTTTTCAAATCTTGTTTTTCACATAATTTTTCTTTTATTCTTTTCTATCATATTAAATGATGCATTCAGTATTTTTCTTCTTTCAATTTAATTATTATAAACACTAATTCAAAAATGAATTTATTATTGAATGAGTAAAATGAAAGTAACGTAATGAAAAGATTGTTGAAGAATTCTAATAGAAATAAGTAGTAATTTTCATTCTACATAATTATAAATAGAACATAAAAGAGACATTAATTATCTATAATTATATACATATAGATCACTGGTATATAGGAGATAGTTTTTTTCTTAAAAAGATGAAAGTATTTAATTTAAGGGTATATGAAATTTTGTTTAAAGAATAAATTACAACATGTGGACAATGAACGTTAATTGTTCAATAAAGAAAAATTAACTAACTACAACAGGATAAATTTGTGGAAATATGAAACATTGGAAGTTATTCTCTCTGAGAATTCATGACATATACACCTCAACAGTATTGAATAAACATTTATTCTATGAGATGTTCATATTTCATTTTGTTTTACCTGAATGTAAATGTTTTATTTGACTGAATAATCATTCATATTCTGCATGTAAACCGTCTAGGGTTACAGCCGGTCTAAAGCTCGGATGACAGCAGAGGATTGGGTATTAGATTAGTAAATTCATCTTGTAGAAGACGAATTTGCTGAAAAAACACTAACCAGAATAAACAAAAACTATTTGAAGTCAATTTTGTAAGTTGAAGGATCTTTATTTGGAAGAATCATCTCGCCTCATAGTGAAAGCCGAGATTCTTCAGGAATCACGAGGCTGTTGCTTTTTTTTATAATCAGAGCAACAATTAATATAGGAGCATGGAATGTGCGGACGATGTGTGAGACTGGGAGGACCAGTCAAATAGCAATGGAAATGAGAAGATACAACTTGGTGATGCATGAAATAAGTGAAAGCGATTAGACCAAGCTAGAAAGAAAAGATAAGCTTCGGGAGAGATGCTCTTTTACCCCGATCAGAAAGAAGGACATGCTTCACACACACATGTTGTTGCACTAGTGCTGTCAAAAGAAGCATGAAATGCACTTATAAGATAGGAGTCCTATGGATCTCAAGGATCGTCAAAACACCGTTCAAATCAAAGAAGGAGGGATTCACAATGAATGTTATCCAGTACTTTGCACTTATTAATGATAGCAACGGCAACGATAAAGATCAGTTTAATGTAGTAGCTACCATTGTAACAGTAGGCCCCAACATATATATATATATATATATATATATATATATATATATTCAATGAACAGAACTAAAAAAAGATATCTAAAATACAACTATATTTTTAGACAGACTTTGAAAACTTAAAATGTGTCAATAACTATTTAGATATTCTACTATAGTAAAAAATGAGACATCTACAAGTAATAATTCGATTAAATAAACTTACTGGGTTAGTAAATACTGAAGCATAAACTGTATGATTACTATGAGTAGGATAGACAAATTTCGGAGCATTATCATTGACGTCTTGAACTTTGATGTGTACTTGACATGAAGAACTTTGTTTTGGTGTTCCATGATCATATGCCAAGACCTATAGAAACAGATAAATATTATCAGCGTGTATTTGTGAAGATTGTTGGGTTTCATTGAAATCACGCATTGATTAATATTAGACAGCTATTGAGAATCTAGAAGCCCTAGATAGCCGCATTTTCCTGGTATGAGACACCGCAGAAGTGCAATAATCAAACCCATCATAATTAGACTTGCTCGCAAACACCCAAACTCTAGATCACGGAACTGGCATTAAATGATGTTGATGTTTAACTTAAGTTAGTTCACGATAATGAGCGACTGTGTCGAGTGTGAGACAGGTACCCACTAGAGACAATCGGAGATGTTCGCGCAATATCATGGATTGGTTAAAGTTAGTCAGTAGCGCTGCTGGATGCCGTCTCAGTTGTTTGGTGGTTAAGTGTTTGCACACAAAACTGAAGGTTTCGGGTTCGACCTTCACGTGCTTGGTTTTGGGCGCTCACTGTCGAGGAGTCAGGACGAAATGGCGGTTTAGAACTTACAGTCAAGTGTTAATTTGAAAGTGCGTAAAAAACACTTTGAGATCGTGAAATGAATTGGAAAAATTTGTTTTGACCTTGATTTCAATGTTATTTAAATATATAATCTATATTTTTGTTTGTTACCTTGTGTAGAAACTTACTCGAAAATTTTCGTGTCGTTTAGTGATGTCACGTTTCTTTCCCTTTTCAAAGCAACCACTTAGTCGGTTTTTGAAAGAATGTCTAAGGACTAGACAGTTGACTTTGAATGTCAATAATGTGGTCACACTTATTATATTTAGGATTATTGAAATGTTGTTATCGATTTTTTGAAATGATTAACAATGAAGCAAAACAGTTATGTGTTCAAACTTTTTAACTTTATTACTGAATTTTTCATACTGCCTAACTGTTTAAGGTAACTCATTAAATATTAACTGCACTTGATTTACCCGAGCGTCTTATATGGTAAAATAAAAATAGTTGGTTTCAATTTATTTTAGCTGAATAACTGATTTCTTTGTGGAGACTGTTGACTTTAATTCATGACAAACTACTTCACATAATATTTAAGAGTGCATCAAGTTACCGCACCATAACACAGTGTACATAATGTCCGATTATTATCAACAAGTTCATGGGTAAAAAAATTAAAATGGTTTGTTAATTCGAGGTTAGTAATCATATGAATATCCTATTACCGGTAGCAAATATTTCTTGATTTTGTTCTCTAGAACATTTAAAGATAGGATTCAGAGAAATCAAACAATGGAAATTTAATTTGCATCGGATTCAGATCTGATAATTGCTAAGTTTACATTATCGGCAGATGTATCCAAAATCATACTTCCTCTGTATTATTTAACAAAAACGGGCCCAAAACAACTCGAACTGTGGTAAATTCTGTTCCAATTGTGAATATCGTAATCAAAATGCCGACTGAATTCGGCTTTAGAAAACTTTGACTTAACAAGTAGAATAGAGTTAGCATAAATTTTCTAACCTATCGATCGAACACATGGTTTAGTGTTTAATTGTAAACTTGGAAAGATGATTTTCACTTTCTAGAGAAATCGTCTAGAACAGAAAGATCTATGTTTAAATGTTTGTTAAAGACTAAGTTGCGCTGATGTTTGCCTTGTTTTAAACTGAATAGAAGTTCACCATTAAATTTGATTCAGTTACACTTTTTCTGACATTAGGACGGTTTATAAATTGTGTGTCATTAGATAGACGTATTTTTAGATCTAAGATACACAAAATCATCTTATCTGGTTACAAAGTGGCAGAAGAAAATTATTAAAGTTCAATCGTGTTACAATTTCATTGAAAAAATGTCTTTTAGTAATTTTTATTCCTATATCCCTTTAAACTTTCATGTATACTATGTAATCCAGGGTCAGAATATACTAAGGCAACAAATACCAAACAGTAATGTAATAAGTTTATCCTCAAAATCATAGACAGCGCTTGATACTTGTTCAACAAGCTTAAGTTGGTTTATTTTGTCATACATGTCCTTAGTAGATTGGAATTCTAGTTAAATATTAGATACCAGGATTTCTTCACTCTGTATTATATCATGAAGCACTCGATGAGTGACATTTACATCACACACTGATATCTTAATGTTTTAAAATAACATCGGTATATAAATTTAAGTCTTGTTAAGACTTCTTTTAGTCACTTTAAATTTGTAAATCATAAGTAAGTTTCCTCGAATTCTAGATGTTACATCACCTCGTTGTCTGTGAATACGAAACGAGTAATTTGAAATTCTAATGTATTTCCTTTAATTGAGCGTAATCAATTAGCTGTAAAATAATTAAGAATATTTTTTTATTTCTCTAGTGTCTTTTCATCAAAAAAACATGAACTTTGGTTCTTGATAATTATTTATTAATAATTTTACAAGATCCTTGTCAAAAGATCATGGTGAAATTTAACACAAATCGATGGGTTTTCATTCAAAAAGAAAATACAACTCGTCAGAATTTAAGTAATCAACTCAATCCTATTACAACTAATGTGTATAATATTTGATTTAAAGTATATAAGGTGAATAGTTATTCATATGTTAATTAGATTACTTACCTTAAAAGTATAACTATCTAATTTTTCCCGATCCAATGGGGTACGTAACCATAAAGTTCCATTATTTCTATCAAGTCGAAATGTTTTTATTGCATTCCCCTAAACCAAAATTAAACAAAAATAAATCAGTACAAATAAATTAAATATGAAACTGACATTACCATCGATAACTAAATATGTATTGCTAACAATATTGTTAGTTTTAATAAGCTTTGTAAGCAATATAAACGTTTTCGTTTATCATGAATGACAGGTAATTTAGATTCATTACAGTGTAATTGTTTATTGAGATAAACATGTGTTCAGTATATGTGAAAATGTTAACTACACTATTAAGTCATATTTAAAATTGAAGTATCTATTTACAGTTTACAGAAAAAAGGAGGGTACAATCATTTTTAAGCCAATTAAAGACAGATAATTGAACAGTATCATCAACTGTTTATTATTCAGCTGAAGAAAAATAATAATTAATGAATTATTTTATTGGCTTATAATTAACGAAATAAATTTCTTTTCGATTGTTTATTTAGGGCATGACTTGTACCAGCTTTATTAAGAGTGAAGAACTATTTAACTTTTCTCATATAATTGTTTGTTAATGAATTTGATTGGCAACAGTTTCACATTTTAGAATGTAGTACAATATTTCATAAGTTAACCAATTATATTTAGATATTGTGCAGATACATCCAGTTGATGAGTCTTAAATAGAACGAAACATGCGTCCTGGATACCACTTCTAGTAATCATCCATCTCTGCTTATAATAAAATAGTAGATAACTGAGAACTACCTTAGGTTAGTAAAAAACAAATACATTAGAAATGTGTTTTTTATAATTGAATTCAAAGTGAATTAATTGATATAGTTATTTGTTATAAACAGTTGTTTCTAATTAGATTTCTTAACTTTCTGCTACCACATTCTTTGTCGATATATATATTCATACAAAGATGTTACTGTTTGTGGTCATTAATTTACAAATTCATTATATCGTTTCAATTAGAAATAATGTTTTCAACGAACATTATTGTGACTAGTTAAGTTTTATTCAAGCATCAATGGGTATGTAGTTGAAGTATTGTTCCATTCACTTGTTATTCATTTATTTTACGAACATAATATGTTTCATATATAATAATAATAATCATATTTTAGAACTGTAAGTAGAGTAACCATGAGAATAATAGTTTGTTGACACCTCATTCACTGATAATAAGAATACAAAATACAGGCCATTGATTCAATGATAATAATAATAATAATAATCATTATACTTAAGATTTTTGATGACACGTAACATGAGTTTATAACAAGCATAAATCAGTTTACTTTTTGTGTGTGTTTGAATGTGTTTTCTAATATGCTTGACTAAGAGAATAACTGATGAATAATTTATTAAATACTGAAATCATTTTTACATTGATATTTTCTCTTTTTCGAATGATTTATTCTTTTATATCAAAATAGATTCGGACATAGGTGATCAAGGAACATTTTTACAGTTTAATATGTAAGAAGGTTTCTTCCTGATTATAGATAAAATCATATAGATCTGTAAAATATGTTTATCAACATTATGTTCCATTGTTTATCTGGATTACAATAAAAGTCTAATTGCTATAACTTGTGGCCTTGTGTCCCTTCCAATGTATGACTTAATGATACCGTCAATTAGAGAAGAGTGAATTATCGACTGAGCCGTTGACTCAGTCAAAAGTCCTCTTCTGTCCCTCCTCCTATCTAACCCTACCTGTTGAGTCAAGAACACAAATCTCAGCCTCCGCTATATGAGTCATGTATTACAAACATACTAGGTTTGTATACAAACCAAACAGACTACATCACAACACAAAAAAAATAATAACATATGTATGAGATCTAACCGAAAGTGGCTGTGAATGTGGGAGATTGTAATTAATAGATTGGGTATAACTCAAGAATCGTATAATGATTGTCTATGAGTCAAAATAAAGCTTATACTAAAAGGGAGATGAATATGTATAGTTTAGTTACATAACAACTATACAATAAAAATATATAAATGTCGCGTTGGTCCACACATAGTTCTGAAAAGTTACCATTCATAATAATCGTCGCGATATAACACTATTCCATTAAATGTAAAGTTTATTCTTATATTTATATATGAATAAATTAATTATCACTTGTAGAGTATTGAATTATCAATTTAATTTTATTTAGAAAGATTCTTTTGTTAGGAAATCAAATCTATATTCCAGTAAATGACAGGAAAGGTCAATAAGAAGTTTCATCTTTTATGCATGTAGTCGATTCTAGCTATAAAAGATGGTTCTCTAAATATTACCAATTAATTTTTGATTTAGAAAGTTTTCATATTTCAACGTTTTTCGTTATCACCATAGCAACAGATCTTTTCTTTTCGAATAGTTTGGTTCATTATTCTAACGGTATATTTTAAAAGAAATCAACAGATAACAAATAATAAGTTAGATCATGACTAATATAAATTTGATCAATTTTTTATTGTCACTTAATTATGCGTATATAACGTGAGGTACCTGATTGTGATTACAATCCTTGGACTCATCAGAATATCGATTGTTAAACAATTCGTAAATATAGTTAATACCAAAAATATAATGAATTTTTGACTTTTTATAATTCATTGTAAAGAAGTGGGTTTTTTTTCAATAGAATAAATCATGTATTTCTATGTTTAATTGTAAGTATAACTTGAGAATTGCTTACCAGACCGTACAATAAATTAGTCAACCGTTATACCACAGAAAGAATTTTCTACATAGCGTAACAACTGAATTTAGTTGATTTGGTTCTAGCATATCCATTTTAACAGAATGACACAAAGAAAACCTGCTATATATATATATATATATATATATATATATATATAATATTATTTCCATACCGTGATAATACTATTATATTTCCATAAATATGAAGTCTAACTATATTTTAGTTAAAGTGAAATAGCTGAATGGAAAATGAAAGTTTAGTTTCAGTTGTTAGGTATACTTTGCTTATACCGCCTTGACTGATTTGTCTTCTGTTACTATGAGTTACATTTTGATTTAATTAGATTATCTCTATTTGGATGTTGATTTCATCATTCAACAGCAACAACAAAAACAACAACGATTTTCAGACGTTGTGCCACTATACTCTTATAAATTTCACTCTCTATACATATTCATATCAATCTATGTATGCTTAAATAAATTCGAACAGTATTAACTTTATTTAATAATAATTTTTCTCCTTCTAATGAAACCGTTTCACTGTCGATTATTTACTTCCTGTCACGATCTCTTAGTTATATAAACAAGCTCATGTATAATATTCTTATCAATTATGAAAGGATAGAATTTTTTGTATTAGGATATATTTATACGCATAAATTATTCTATTCTATTATTCGAACCAGCAAGCTGAACCATTTAACTGATCAAGTGTAAACGCCTAATTTAACCATTTAATAAAAGAAAAAGAAAAGTGATCTGTTATTAACAGGTCACTGGTTCATTTAGATAGAAAAAGAAATTTTTTTCAAGGAGTAAAATAGATTTCATTACTCCATAAACTCCAGTAATGTTCTACTTAAAAAGGAGATAACAAAAACAATTGAAGAGAATAGTCCAGTATACAATAATAAATTATATTGTGTTACACTAGCACAACGTATTCTTCTACATAATTTGGTATGCCTATTTTCAATATTATTTTCAATTTTTTTGTTTTTGTTGTTGTTGTATATCTATTAAGGTAAAAACTATTTTATCATTTTAACCTTTAACGGTCCTGCTTTTTGTGTAGTTATCATTAGAATAGTGAAAAAATCTTTATTAGTTCTATTGTTTTTACTCATGAAATTAGGTCATCTCCATGTGAAAAACTCTGTTAATATGATATTTATCCTTCTATATTTTCTATTTCATCTAATCTAATTTTACGTTAAATAGTATAATGAAACTAGAACTTGTTTCATATCACATAGCTTTATATGCTTTAATACAATGTAATCACAGTATAAGTAATAATGGAGGAGATTAATAAATAACCAATCTATCGTTTAATACAATTTCTTCTTAAATACATATTATGCTTTACTATGTAAACCACCTGTCCATATGTTTACATTAACTAATTAAAAACTATTCAGCTTTTATTTTAATATTAAGTAGAGAGAAACAAAATTAAATTTTTATAGATTAAAATAGTTTGTTATGTATTAGGCTTCAATGTTACTACCATAATTCTTGTTTATCGTTTCCTTGACTGATGAAAAATGGTATTAAACTACAAATACTTATTCTATACATGAAATAATCTCACTAATCGAACCGTATTTTATCAGTTCTGAAGCCAAAAATAAAAACGATAATAGATTATTTATCGTAATGCACAACTTGTTGTACTTACTTACTTACTTATTAACCTACGCCTGTTACTCCTAATGGAGCATAATCTGCCGATCAGCATTATACAACCCACTCTGTTCTGGGCCTTACTTTGTAGTTCCATCCAATTCTTGTTCATTTTTCTCATGTTTATTTCCATTTCTCGGCGTAACGTGTTCTTTGGTCTTCCTCTTCTCCTTTGGTCTTCAGGATTCCATGTGAGAGCTTGTCTTGTGACGCAGTTAAGTGCTTTCCTCAATGTGTGTCCCATCCACTTCTAGTGCTTCTTCCTGATCTCTTCCTCCACTGGAATCTGGTTTGTTCTTTCCCACGGTTAGTTGTTGCTGATAGTGTCTGACCAACGGATCCGAAGTATTTTGCATAGACAACTGTTAATAAACACCTGTATCTTCTGGATGATGGCTTTCGTATTTCTCCAGGATTCCGCCCCATACAGTAGAACCTTGTCGACATTTGTATTGAAAATCCTGACCTTGGTGTTGGTTGACAGTTGCTTTGAGTTCCAGATGTTCCTCAGTTGTAAATATGCTGCTCTTGCTTTGCCGATCTACGCCTTCACATCTGCATCACATCCACCGTGTTCATAAATGATGCTGCCCAAATATGTAAGGGTTTTTACATCTATCAAATCTCCGTCAATTATGATTGGATTGGTGCATGCTCTGCCTGGGTTCCT